TTGAGGGAATTTGTTTAAATTCGTCACAAACGTCCACTTGGGCTGAAAAATAAACTGATTAGAATTTGGTGGTCAAAGGTCACTGTGAGCTCACGATACATGTTTTTGACCATAACTCAAGAATTATTGTGCTAATTATGACAAAACTTCACAGGATAAAATAATGAAGGGATGGCATTTTATATCCAAAAGGTCAAAGGTCAGCTTCATTTATTTCGTAGCAACCTGTGGCTGTATTTCCTGCCGGGATAGTGCCACGTTAACACGGTTGTTTTTTCCAGAGACATTTACTGCAGGGATTGTGCCCCCAAAAGTGGGTATTCAAGTAAAGTATCTGTTTATTTTCCATTTAATAATATGCCTCGTCGTTGTGGTTTATTGGTGTATTGTTCGTGTTGTATAATCCTGTTTAAATGTAAAGCTATAGCCCCCCCAACAAAGACAAAAACAGCACATAAACCAGGACAGTGCACATTAATAAACGCTGCTGTAAATTAGCCAACAAGCTGTTTGTTTGTAGCTGCAGGCGCTGCCAGATGTTGCATCGTCACCCAGAAAGAATCTCAGATTAAAGCCGTATAAACTAAAATCATTAGAAATGAGCGCAAAATCATTTAACTTGTTGTGTGCATATTTATTCTTTTATGTGACATTTTTACTCCCTTTAATGTGCGTTCATGTCCTGGTGTTGTGTCAGTCGTGTAATATTTTGAGGCCGGGGAGTGCAGGGTGGCCAGACCTCCAAAATATGTGAGACAAGTGAAATGTCTGCTGTGGGAATGCGTCAGCGGCGGCCTCGTGAATCAAACTAAATAAAACAGGCGCTGGTGTAAATCAGCACACGAGGGCATCTGAAAAATAAAAACTTCCCGCTTTTTGTTTGCTTTTTTTGTGTGTGTTTTAAAAAGTTGATTTATGTCGACCAGACAGAGTCTCTCTTTGCTCATCCAAACTATCTCCTTGGCTCTCGGGTGTATTTTGGGATTCGCACCAGCTGCTCCACAACACAAATGATGTGTTCTCTCCATATTTCTGTGGCTCCAGATCAAACCAATGTTGGCCCAACACCCACACTATTTGAATTTCCTGCCACAGCGCGGGAACGTCCTCTTTGATAGAAGCTCCTGACATGTAACGCCACCTGGTTTTCCTCACAGGGAGGAGATTTAAAGAGTGTGCGACCAGCTGTAGCCACAGGGACGTTTCCCTTTCTGTGTGCTCCACTGTGTTTTAACCAGCCCATCTGGTTTGGTTGTCCCCTGGCGTGTTCTTGTCTCTGCAGCAGGCTCTTATGGCAAATCTCAAATTATCTGAGTCTTTTATGGCTCTTACCAAACTGTGCTTTTACTTTTGGCTTGTCCTTGGCGATGTTCGAAGCTTTTTGATGACAGTGACCATCAAACCCAACCAGAGGACAAGTTTTCCTCTGCTATTTAAAGCAATGATTTGGTGAAATTTGCTTTCTTGCTGAGAGAGTTTCATCTTTGCACGGTAAATATGAAGCTAGTTAGCTTAGCTTAGCATAAAGACTGGAGACAAAGGGAAACAGTTAGCATAGCTCTGACCAAAGGTAACAAAATCTGCCTTTTAGCTCGTTTAAAGGTCCGAAATTAATTATATTAAATTGAATAAGATATATTGAATTATTTCTCTTGCCTTTATTCTCGTCTTTGTTTAGGACGGATTTAAGATATATGAATCAGTGTATTTAGCGATGAAAATTCAGTCATAACACCACTGTTACTACAATTTTCTTGCTGTCAGACATTTTTAAACGTAAGCTCATCACATATAATCACTGTAAGGAAACGTCTAAAAAAGAGCTTCCTGTAACTTTTCTTCTGGTGGATTATAACTTATAATCAGAGGGTTATTATCCGGTGTCTCTAAATTATACGTAAAATGCTTTTTATGCTTTTTCAGTTGGAGACGCTGCATGTTTCCATCGTCTCGTTTCGGAGCAAAACTCTTCTGCACACACGAGCGCTATTAGAAAACCAGCTCGATCTGGATCGATCGAGTCTGCCCGTCAGCGTCTGAGGCAGTCGTCAACCACTTCACATGATTCCTGTCCTCCAAAATGGCCGCCTCCCTGCTGCGTTCGGTCCGCTGGGGGAAAATACGGAGGCCAACGGGTAATTTTGTGGCTCTGCCTGGTATCCTCGTTTGGCCTGGAGTTTTTTTAACAGGCGCAGGGCTGAGCCAGCCTCCATGCACCATGTGTGTGTGTGTGCCAGTACTCCAAACCAGCAGCCTGCACAGAGTGTCGGCCTGCAGCTTCTCTTCCATGGATTGATCAGTTGATTTGTCGTCTTTAAACTGTCCGCAGAGCTCAAGGTGACGTCTTCAATCAGACCAAAGTCACACATATTGATTTGTTTTATGCCAATAATTTAGTTCCATATATCAAACTGGTTTGTGTCCGCCTGTTCCTCCGCCATCACTACACCCATCATCACGGCCGCAGTACCTGTGGCCGAAGGCATTATGTTCTCTGGTTGTCCGTCCATATGTCCCATTATTTTGAACGCAATATCGCAAAAATTATGTAACAAAACTTCTTCAAATTTGGCACAAACGTCCACTTGGACTCAAGGATTAAATGACGAGAATTTGGTGGTCAAAGGTCAAGGTCACTGCGACCTGTGTCCATCCCATTCTTATGAGTGCGATATCTCAAGAACGCCTTGAGGGAGTTTCTCCAAATTTGGCACAAACGTCCACTTGGTGGTCATAGGTCGAAGGTCACTGTTACCTTGTCTGTTTCATTATTGTAAATGGACCTGCAGTTGTACCACTCCCACAGTGCTTCAACACTACATGTCACATTCACACACTGGTAGCTGATGCTACCGTACATGTGCCACCTGCTACTGTAAGGTCCATTCGCTTGCACTCACACACCGATAAACAGACATCGGAAGCAATTTCGGGTTCAGTATCTTTCCCAAGGGCACTTCGGGCCAGAGGAGCAGGGTATCCAACAGCCAATCTTTTGATTAGTGGACGATCCGCTCCACCTCTGAGTCACAACCACCCTGGAAAAATGGATGTGATATCTCAAGAACACATTGAGAGGATTTAATTAATTTTGGCACAAATGTCCATTTAGACTTATTGATGAACTGATTCGATTTTGGTGGTTAAAGGTCTCTGTGATCTTGCTCTTGTCTTTCTCATAATCGCAATATCTCAAGAAGACCTTGAGGGAAGTTATTTAAATTTGGCAGAAAATGTCCAGCTCGAATGAAGAATTAACCGATCAGAATTTGATGGCTGAAAGTCAAAGGTCAAGGTCACTGTGACCTCATGTGTCTCAATCTTGTAAATTCGTAACTTGTATCTCAAGAACACCTCCAGGGATTGTTTTGCAAACTTAGCACAAACATCCACTTGGACTCAACAATGAACTGATTAGATTTTTGGGGTCAAATGTCAAGGTCACCATGACCTTGCATCCATCTCACTCTTGTGATTGATATCTCAAAAACACCTTGAGTGAATTTCTTCAAATTTGGCACGAACAACATCTTGGACTCAAAAATGAACTGATTAGATTTTTGTGGTCAAAAGTCCAGGTGACTGTGACCTTGTGTCTGTCTTATTTTGTGAACAAGATATCTCAAGAATGCCTGGCAGGAGTTCTCTCAAATTTGGCACAAACATCCACTTGGACTCAAGGAGGAACTGATTAAGATTTGGTGGTAAAAGGTCAAACGTAAAGGTCACTGTGACCTCACAAAACATGTTTCTGGCCATAACTCAAAAATTCTTAGGCTAAATTTGACAAAACTTCACACGGATGTCTAACAGGATAAAAAAGTGAAGTGATGACATTTTATATCCAAAAGGTCAAAGGTCAACTACACTGTGACATCATAATGATTTGCATAAAACACTTTTCTGTCCGTTATTCGGTGTCATATCTCAGGAACAGAAGGGGAGACATTTGGTCAGATACTGAATTAGTGACTGTCGGAGGGAAGATGTGTGTGAAGCATCACCGTTTTACCCAGTAAGGATACAAACTGTAACTGCAACTTGATTGGTCGGTGCAGGCACATGATTGCAAAGCGTTAATTCTAGGGTTTTTTTTTTACTCGCTTCCTCCACCTGCTTCCTCTCTGAGAGGATATTTTCGTGTTATTTTCTGCAGCTGATAAGAAGTGCCTGATAAGTGCCAGATGGGGGAAGAGGAAGAGGAGGAAGAGTTGAGTGACAGTGTTGTAAGACGACAGGAAACATCAGGCAGCTCCACCCTGATAGAAAGAGACGGAGATGTTCCTCTTGGTTTTTTTCTCACTTCTCATTTCGCCAGATATAATATTTGAGAAGTTGTTTTGTAAACACAATCAGCTGCTTGTAGCTGAGTGTTGAGGAAGTTACGGTTTGAAGAAGTTGAAATACAGCAAAGCAAGTTCTGATGATAACATGATGATCTCTGTAACCCTACTGTCTCTGGTTAAACAAAAAGGATCTTACTCTTTAAATAAAAGCTCTATCTCTGTAGGGATTCTTTCCATAATGTGGTCAGATACACCATAATACTCTGAGCCTGTCAGTGACAAAAACAAACACTTTTAGTTGACGTACTTGGTGCAACATATAGTTCACTGCTCCCCAACACTGCTGCTGCATCACCCTGTTTCTTGGAATGTTGCACAACTTTGTCCGGAGATCTGCACACTGGGTGGAGAAAAGTAAAAGTTGTTTCTTAAATTGGTTTCAGTTCCTGTCTGTGGTTTCTTCTTCTGTGTTTTCTCAGACATGTGTGTTCTTTTAAGAAAGTGAAATGAACAACAATACAAAACAAACAGATTAAATAAATGTCAATTTGGCCATAAAAATGTGATCAGATGGCTCATTTTCTGTCCAACCTGCAGCTTGTTTGTTTCTTGGCACACTTGAAACTGAGTAACCCATCCTCTGTGGATGTTTTGTTTCTTCTTCTGTGGATTAAAACAACTGACAGGGTATTTTTTTATCTCCTTCACCTCCAGCCACCATGAAGAAAGGCCAGAATGGCACCAGCTGGACCAGCGAGCGGAGCCTCATGTTCGGGGTAAACGCCCAGAGCACGCCGACTCCGTCCTCCACAGCCTCCATGTCTCACCAGGTGACCTCCATCGATGGAGTCAGCTTCACTGAGGGAGACCTGCTGCTTCAGGTAACACCTCAACGATGCTGGTCGTTCTACAGATTGTTTTGTGTTTCAGAGACAAAGCAACATTAAGTTTTTTTATTTTTATCTTCAGGCTCTGAACGGCTTTGTGTTGGTGGTGACGGCTGAAGGCTACGTCTTCTACACATCCCCAACCATCCAGGACTTCCTCGGCTTCCACCAGGTAAAACAGGACGCAGGAATAAAACCAAAACCAACCTCAAAACCAACATTAGGAAGCACTGATGTCTTCTGTCCACACTGCATACATCAGCGGGTTTTAGCACATGATCTTAAGATGCAGGCAACATGGAGGTTGGTAAAAACACCCAGGACTGATGCTTGAAATGCAGCTGATAAATGCTGTGAGGGTTTGGTAAAAACACCCAGGATTGATGCTTGAAATGCAGCTGATAAATGCTGTGAAGAGTTGGTAAAAACACCCAGGATTGATGCTTAAAACGCAGCTGATAAATGCTGTGAGGGTTTGGTAAAAACACCCAGGATTGATGCTTGAAATGCAGCTGATAAATGCTGTGACGGGATTGTATAAACACCCAGGATTGATGCTTGAAATGCAGCTGATAAATGCTGTGAGGGTTTGGTAAAAACACCCAGGATTGATGCTTGAAATGCAGCTGATAAATGCTGTGA